TGTCAGGGTGACCTCCAACATCACTGCTTATTGCATCGCCTCCAACTCCTATGGCAATGATTCTCAGTCTTTCAGCATCAAAGGCAGTGAGTCTCCTTCGCCGTCACTGCCCTGTGTTTTTTTGTATTTGTGATCGTGTTCCTCTCTCGCCCCCTCCCTTCTCCCCAGCTTTCCCCCATCTCTATTTTCCTCCCTCTGTTTTTTTTCTTAACACTTCTTAAGGGATTTTCTTTTCTTTGTTTAAAAAGCTTCCACATCTGTTATTTGCTCCGACGTTATTCTGTACATGTCATATTTCCATGTGTGGCTGTGAAATGTTCTCACCATGTCCTCCGTGTATTAACAGGGAGTGTCCTCCCCTTTGTATCTTGTCACCTGTTTTCAGCTTCACACACCACACAGATCCCCACCATTTCTAGTACTTCTAGTACTAGTATTTCCTCATCCACAGGTAAGACTCCAGTCACAGCGTGCTGCCTAATTCATTAGTAATTTCTCCGATTTCGCGTACTCTACTGTACGTCCAACGATTCCACCGTTCTTTCACTTATCGTTGCCCTAATACACAGCTATTTGCACACACTGTGGGGAAAAAAAGTTTTTGTTTCACTGAAGCAGAACAAGCTTGAAGATGTTTGGTAATGACTAAAATCCACCAGTTCTATAATTCTCTATATTTTCAATGACATTTTTCACATTACTAATACTATCATCTGGATTAATCACCAACAAAAACGGGTGTGAAACACAGACCTCTACCTGCTGTTATTTATCTATACTGTTCCAGGAGTGTATAAAACAAAAACGTTTTTGTCATATATGATTTAGGGATGTCCGATATTAACTTTTTGCTGATATTTGATATACAGATATTGTCCAAACACTTAATATCCAATTGCAATATCAACCGATACCGATATAGTGGGGCAGTGGTGGCCTGGTGGTGACGGAAGTTAAGTGTCGCCTGCTCACTAAGGTGATGGGTTAAAGCAGTGTTTTCTCAATTATTTCTGCATTTCTGCCATGCCCCCTCTAGGGGACAGAATTTTTTATGACCCCCTCCACCAGCATTCTGTATACAATTGCTTTCACTTTTACATGCAGCCATTTTCCCCCAAAACTTTTTTTTAGGGCATACATCATTTAGTGAAACCCAGGCATTGTGTAATCGACTTTTCATTATCGGAGGAATTCTTACAGATATGACATACTTATGCTAATATTGGGCCGATATTATTGGACAGTAAAATCCAATATCTGACAATACTTCACATAGCGTAATATCTTTGTGTGCTATAGAAGAAGTGAATCAGCGAATTGTACAATTTTTGAAAATGGTAAAAAGTCTTAAGTATGCACATTTTTTATTTACCTTAAGCAGTTACCTTTACCAGTTAAGTTTTAAAAACTTAAACAAATGTTTTTCAAAAAGTTTAAAAAAATGAATTGTATTTTGAATATTTAGCTGATAAAGCCAGCATCTCTTTCCAAAATGGCCAAATAGAAATTGTCATTTCTGCTTTGCATTTTTAGTCAGAGCTTAGTATTTACAGAGAGTGTCCTCCCCTTTGTGTCTCCACTGGTTTTTAGCTTCACACACCACACAGAGCCCCACCACTTCTAGTACTAGGACTAGTATTTCCTCATCCACAGGTAAGACTCCAGTCACAGCATGCTGCCTAATTCATTAGTAATTTCTCAGACTTCCAGGTTCTTTCTAGGAACAGAAAACGTCCTTTATGACACATTACAACGCACGGGTAGAATGACGCAGGAAAAAAGTTTTTTTTCACTGAAGCAGCACAAGATGTTTGGTAATGACTAAAATCCACCAGTTCTATAATTCTCTATATTTTTAATGACATTTTTCAAATCCAATTTCTGACAGTACTTCACATAAAGTAATATCCTTGTTGGCTATAGAAGAAGTGAGTCAGCAAATTGTACATTTTTTAAAAATGTTGCACATTTTTTCCCCCCAGCAGCTTTAAGTCTTGAGTTTGCACATTTTTAAAAACTTTTTATGGAAAATGTATACGCTGCTATAAAGCAAAAAACAAAAACAAAAAAAAAAAAACAGTAAACACAGGGATAATTACCAATCAAAGTAAAATTTTTTAGATGGAGTTACATCTAACATAATTTCATTTCTGCAAAACAGCTTTGGTGTTAGCATCATTAAAGGCAAATACACACAAATCAATGTGACTTTGCACGGTGAGCAGCTGATGCTTTAACTGCACTCAGAGTCTCCTGACTCCCATTAAGGCCACGGCCATGTGTTTTCTCTGCCGTTCTGCATCTAGATGCTCTTTACTCTTTACCAAATGCCAGGAAATTTCCAGCCCCCTCCGAGAAAATTGTTCTGGGTTGTTGTTGCTTATCGCAAAGCACTGTTTACATGAGACTGAACAGAAACGCCAGGCCCTGTTTTTTTTTTTGTTTTTTTTTACAGGAAATGGCTGCAGCGCTTACAGTAGAATAAAAATCTACATTCATTTTAAAACTCAAATAGAAAAAAAAAACTGTGTGAATAAGTGTGTAGCCCTCAGGCCTGTTGATGTGACCTCACTTGACAATCACTCTCTGATTGCTGTGCTCTTGTGGTCTTCTCTTCAGTCAAGGCAAAAACAGCTATTCCACCAAAGAAAATCAAGAAAGGTTTGTATGAGACGCTGATGCAGACTCTGTCTCGCCTCCTGAACTTGTATGGCAGAAAAGGCTTCCATCTCCTTTTCTTCTGCAACATTTTTTTCCTTTTTCCTTCCATCCATCAGACGTTCCCTCTTTCTCCAGATGAAAAAAAGAAAAAGTTCCTCCGTTCCTTTGTTCATCTCCTGTGCATGTTGTCACGCTTGTACACAGGCACACCTTTCCTCCCTTCACTCCTGAATTACTTTGCACCTTCATTTCTTTAGCTCACCAGGGTTTGGGTGACCTGATAGATGCAAATGCTGCCCTCCTGTTCACACTGTGAAATGCTACTTCCTGTTCCGACACTGTGGAAAGCTGCAACGCCTGCCATGCGTGATGCTGCATCTGACTATCCGGCTTCACATAGCTTTAATTCATACCGTCTCAGCTACAGACTGTAACGCGCGTGTTGTTTGTGTGCCTTTTTCCCCCCACCAGAGGGCAGCGGTGTTATCATTGCGGTCATCATTATCTGCATCCTGCTGCTGGCCATCCTGGGCAGTGTGCTGTATTTTATGTACAAGAAGGGAAAGATATGCGGCCGATCTGGAAAACAGGACCTGTGAGTGTGACGAGCGGAAATTCAATGTGTCATAAAACATTTTAACAAAGCTTTTTACATTTGAAATAATAACAGAAAAAACTGAAGGCTTTTTACTTTACACGAAACTTTTTCTGATGAGTCAGTTTTGTTTTCAATGACAAAATTCACAAAACACGTTTACCTAAAAGCACAATAGGTTTAACAAAGCTTTCTTTTTTTTGTTTTTTTTTGTTAATCTATCAGAAAATGACATTAAGGGTGGAGTGTAAAATATGTCTGTGATTATATGAATTCAGTTGTAAGTTTGAGAATAAAGCTATATGTTTACTTTTTTCTCATTCATGATTTTCTTCACATGAACTTTATTTTTCTAATTTTAGATTTTTTTTTATCCTCAAGTTGGCCCTTATACTTTGTCCAAACATCGTCATTTACAGCAAATCTATTTTTGACGTAAAATTGAGGCCATTCTAACTTTTTTCCATTCTCTAAAGTCAGCGTGTTGTTGCTGTTGCAGAACTAAGGAAAAGTCCAGCAAAGACAACATCGTGGTGGAGATGAAAAGTGATAACACGGAGGAGGCCATTCTGCTGGGGGTGAACGGAGACAAACCGCCCCCCAACGAGCAGGTCAAGAAATGTCTGATACTATGAAATGATTTCTTCAATCATAGTTTTCTGAGAAAATCTTTTAAGTTTCTCAAAAATGAAAATGCCCTTATTTGCCATAAATATGTAGCTATGTCCTTTTTAATCTTTAATTTAGAAAAAATCATAATCTGACAAATGCATAAATAAAATATATAGTAGATATATATTTTGTTTTCATACTGTTTAATTTATTACATTTATTAATTATATATATATTATACACAGGTGCTGCAGATTAAATAATTTTATTGCCCTATTGTTTTATTGCAAAAAAAATGTTTATTTTCTTCAGAATTGTTTTTTCTCATTTCCATCTTTTTTTTTTTTTTTTTTTTTTGTAAAGATGAGATAATTCCCTGCAGGGATCAATAAAGTCATTTGGTTCTGATTCTGATTCACCTGCTCTCCTGCAGTGAGGTCCTTGTTAGTACCTGGATGTGCAGAAGTGAGGAGGTGTCTCCAGAAACACCGCCTGCTGCTCCCGTTCCTGCCTCTCAGGCTCAAACCTGCCGATGCCTCCACGCTTCCACCAGAGCCACGTCACTGAAATTAGCACAGCAACGTGTCACCTGATCTAATCCAATTGAACAACTGAAACTGCAGGTATTCCCAGTTTTCCACAAGCATCTGCTCATCGTTTTCTGCTTCACTTCTCTCAAGCTTCCACCACACAACCCTGCTAGCGAACCAAAGAGCGAGCGTTAACTGTGGCTCTGACCTGTCGGAGCCTCTTTTCACTGCTGATCATGTGTAGAACAAACTTCACAACTCAATGTTGACCAGGGACTTTTTTGTTTTTTTTTTAATATCTGGCTGAGCGTCCACTCAGGCTAGGGCTACCACTGATGAGCATCATCAAACTGCTCCATATGGAAGTGTACATATTATAATCTGTGTATATATTTCTTTATTTAAAATAACAGAAAAAAAACAGAAAAATAATCAAAATAAATAAATGATCAGCAAGCGGCAATTTTTTGGGGGCAGATTTTAGCTAGTTTAATTTTCTTTGTCTTTTTATATGAAGTCTCCACACTGAAGTTGAAGCCAGTTCCTGCTTTTACCAAACTACCCTGCCTTTCTCGTCTTTAGCGTTTTTTTTGTTTGTCTGTTTTTAGGTTATTTAATCCATTTTCCTTTCCTATTTGTTTCACCCAACACTGTCTGCGTTTGTGTTTATTCCTGACAAACATAGTACATAGTACCAGTGAAGTGAAACATTTCTTCTAGATTTGAATATTAGGGCTGTCAAATTGTGTCAAAGTGTTAACTATCAGAGTGTTAATTGATTTGTGATGATTCGACAGATTCAAAGTTCTAAATAATGTTGTACTCACGAGCAAAATGGCACATGCTGTATAGCCAATAATGTCACAGCCCACTCATTCATAAATGCATGATGTCATTTGTACAGCTTATGGGAAGGTGTTTGTTTTACTGACGCACCTAGAGGTTAGAATACCATCTCAGCTCCGTCAAGATGGACAGTAATGACTGAAACCCAACTCTATCAAGCTTATAAAGTTTTGATTTTTTTAATGTAAATTTTCCTTGACATAGACATCAATTTGATTAGTGGCTTATTTTGGTTTATTATTAGTTAATCCTAATCCTTTACGATTCATCACAGTTAATTAGGATCACGATGTGTTATGTATCGGACTGAAATCTTTAGCCATATGACAGCCCTAGTTTAGATGTAGATTTCTGCTTTAATTGTGTTTTTCTTTTCTTTTTTTCTCACAGTCTAGTTTTGATATTCTATGAGTGTTTTTCAGCTTGACCTACAGTCAGTTGAAATGACAGTTGCAGATGACTTATAAAATGACATCTTCCTTTAAATCACCACCTTTAGTTCAAGTATTTTAACTGTAAAGTGCACTGACTTTTCATTCTTCTTATCCAACAGGCAAACAATGTTTTCTTTCTTTAATTTGAAACAGTGGGTCAGGTTTAATGTGACTGTCTGTGAATGAGGAGTTTTAAATGTAGACATTTTCCTTGAAGTAGTTTATTTTTAAGAGAACGACGGGAGAACAGATGTCAGTTGAAAATACATTGTTTTCATGACATGAATGAAGCTCCTGACGACTTAATGACAACACTACACTGTGTACTGAACTGATGACCAACACCTCTGGTGCCACCGACCAGTTTCATTCAAGAAGGTATTTGTTACAGGTATTTGTTGTCGAAATACGTTTAGATAAATACAGTATATGTCATGCTTTTTAGACAAAATCCTTTATGACTACTGAGAGGTGAGAAATGACTGACTCCGACTATTCCAATCAGGTTTGATTTAAAAAGAAATAAACAAACAAATGAAGCTGATTTCATCCTCCTTGTTCTCCGTCGATCTGTGTTTCTGTTGTTTTTAAGAACTGTCCCTATCCAATTGGATTTGTCAGTTTTTTTTAGTGCCTTGAAATTTTATTCACGACAATGGTGGAAAAAAAACAAACCACTTTTGCAAAAAAAAAGAAGCCATTATTTGTAGTTTTTTTTAAGAAGTGCAACAAATAAAGATTGTCTGTAACTCAAATGAAATGCCTCTGTCTGTGAATGTGGATGAGGAGGAAGGCTTGAGAAAGATAATGTTGTGATACAGTGTTTTTTTTTGTCTTTGTGTGGTTAGGGTCAGCGTTCACCTTTAGCATTCAATATACACCTGGGCAGAGGTGTGGACTCGAGTCACATGACTTTACCTCGAGTCATAAATTTGATGACTTTGGAACGGACTTGACAAAGAGTAACAGGACTTGCAACTCGTCTTGAACCTGTGACTTAACTTGGACTTGAGCGTTTTGACTTGAAAATACATACACGACTTTCCTCTTGCTGTATAGATAGGATGAACGAATGCCCTCTGTAACGTCACCTGAACCGAGTTAACAACACCACCTGTCTCGCTTTCAAAATTGAACATTTTGTCCCACTTTTTCATTCGACATTACTTAATTGAAAATAAACTATTTTATGTGACTCGATGTCTATGGGCATGACTATCAGTGCAGTCAATTGCAATGATAGGTCCCTTTGTGGATAAGGCTGTAGCTGGCAGGCTGAGTGGTCTGCCAATCCAACTGCTGACTCGTAGCAACCATACACACTTTGGAATCGTAGAGCGCGCAGTTGTTTTGTTGCTGTTAAGGCGCCCATATGTAGTGTGCCAACAAAAAAAGAAGTCGCCACCTTTTGGCTGCGACCGGTACATGGAGTTCTGAACGATCATTCTGCAATTGGTGTAACAACGGCTTTTCTATCGGCAGTGGATCTGATGGGAAACAACACGATGCACGTGAGTCTCACACAGGACACACAACAACAGAAAATATCCAAAGTGTGCAGTATTTTTCTGTAAACCAAATAACACTGGGTTTGATAAAATCACTACAGTAGAAGATGGCAGTGTTTACCATACAGTGTAATATTCACAGTCATATCGGTCAACCGACTGCAGGAAAGCCCAGAAAATCTTGGTTCTACAATGATGCAGAATATATATTCATCGCTGTTGAATCTTGTTATGGCTTAGGTTCTAACATTTGGTTGCTTTTCTGTTTCCAATGTTTCAGAAACATGCTATTAGTGCTGAGAAAGGCTGTCGACCTGCTGGATTGTGATGGAAAATCTGAACAGGTGTTTTCCTACCCATGGAGATTTCCTACCCGAGGTAAGTGCGCATGCGTACATTGGCCAATTTGCGACTGCAAACAAGCCATAGTGTTATGCTACCCGACCTTTAAATACAAGTTTATGCTTCAAAACATGCTGCCAAGGGAATATTTTGTGTTTAAAACACCAAAAAAATTTTTAAGTAAGGCATGTTTTAGTTGATTTTTG